ATAGATCTATGTAGCCTTATACACCCCTGCCTGCCCACAATACTCAGGGCTGTGTCCTAGGGCTTTTGCATTCAATAGATTTAAACAGAACTCATTCCTTCACTCTGGTAGCCTCCCACCCAGATTCTCTAGAGACCCTAACCTTTGGCATCATCCGCACTTGACATCATTTCTCAGAGGGAAGAATAGTTGACTCCATGACTAAGGGGAGCCAGCTGAGATTTCCTCAGCACTAGCTAGACCCCTATTGTTCTTTTCATAGAGGACTCTTAGAACTGTGGCTTAAAAGGATTTCTCCATTTGTTTCACAGAAATATTTTGGAGTCTCCAGAATTCCCCATGCCACCATTCTCCTGTCATCATCCATCTGCTTACTGGGAGTAGCTGGTAAGGAGGTCCCAGTGGCATATCATGTAACAGGTCTCTAATCCACTGTTACGAAAGCTGAGAATTGGGAGTGATAATAGTCCTCTGCAAAGGGGTCCCTCATCTGTATAGTGCTCTCTTCTGTTACTGTAGAAAGTGTGGTTGGAAAGAATAGTGGATTAGGAGACCTATATTCTAGTTCCATTTCTACAACTACCAAACTATGTGACATTGGTCGTGTCACTCAAGCTCTCTATGGCTCAATTTCTTTATCCATATGATGGGGACAATAATAGGTGCTCTGCCTACCATGTGGGCAGGTAGTGAAGATCACATGCCCTGAATGTTGAGTCAGGAGACGGACTAGATTCATTCACAAAGGTTGATCAATAACAAGCTTGCTTTGCTGCTCTCCAGGCTCTTCCCTGACATTTTCATCTGGCTTGTGTCTAGCTCTTATTTAGACATCTTATTGTTCAGTCGTTTCAGTTATGTCCAACTCTCTATGACCCCATTTGGGATTTTCTTGGCTTTGCCAAGAGTGCTTTGCCATTTCCTTCTCCACCTCACTGTACAGATGAGGAACTGAAGCAAGCAGGGTTAAATGACTTGCCCAGGGTCACACAGCTACTAGGTGCCTTCTTGACTCCAGGCCTGTAGCTCTGTCCACTGCAACATCTAGACATCTATAGTTTTCTTAAAAACATAAGATTAAAAAGACATGAAAGAGAGAACAAGTTTATTACACACCACAAAGAATACAGAGGAGACATACCTGAGTCTATAGACATTCAAGGATACTTTCTCCTTCTTATAAGCCCCACTTTCCACCAGGGACCTATGTAGTTGCTCCAGACTTGTAGTACTACCCCGGGATTGAGGCCCCTCCAAAAAGAGCAAAAAGTCTTGGTCATTAAAAAAATTTTTTATTAAAAATAATTTTGTAGCACTACAAAATCAACTGCCACCCCTGAGACCTACATAATCCATATGAGTCACGGTACCAGGAAAGGACAAGGTATAACTTTGCTCTTTGTGATTGTGTTCCTATGCCTTGTTACTCCTTTGTTCTGTCTCCCACAGTTTGAAGCATATGCTTGGCTTGATCTAAGAATATCTCATTTATTTCCTTAATGCTGCTTTTCTGCTGCAGTTTGTATTCTGAGAGAGACCAGATTGAAAATGGAAGGTGAATACTGAAGTTTAGTAGCTATCAAGTCTAGGATCATAGAGATATTTACCTGTGAAAATTAAACCAGAAAGCACAAATGCAACTTTAGGAAATGTGTCTCATATATAGACTTAATATATGTGTACTTAATATACTTAAATACCATATTAGTTCAAAATATAGATTTCCAAAAAATAAAGATCTCCCCCAATAAAGTATACATCTCTAAAATAAATTACCTTTGAAAAGAAAAAGTAGATAGATATGCTCTGAAAAATAACATCAAATATGTTTATATAATCCAGATCTGGGGGAAGAGTACAGTCTATATTCAAATTAATATGGCACTAATTACTTTGAATTATTTAACCATAATTTGCTCAGTTGGTGGATTCTCTAAGTACTTTGCTTCTCCCTTCTGCACCATATTTACTTGTTAATAGTATCTTAAAGGGAAAACTGGGAAAAGGAAAACTCAGATCTATCAACCATTTAAGCTACTCTAGATTTAAAAAAATCTTAAGGTAGAAATCAAAAACAATAAATTACTCTGAGATGTGGTATTTAATTGAACTTTTTAATTTCTTTTAACATTTTATTGACTCCTTTTCTTCTTATACACCTCTCCCTCCAAAATGAGCTCTCCTTTGTACCAAGGCATTAAGCAAAGTCAGATGATGTAGCATTTGTACCTGAGAGTGTATTGTCAATCTCGCACCCATAGTCCGCTACCCTTCTACCAAAAAAGAAAGAGATGCTTCCTTCTCTGTTCTCCAGAATAAAAAATTGTCATCACAATTATTCAGTATTCAAACTTTTTATTTTTCTACACTGCCTCTATTCCTCAAGACCACCAATCACCAGGAGCAAACCAAAGAATAAGCTGCTTCAACTGCTATTAGAAATGTAAGCAAGTAGAGACCAGAGACAGAGTAACAGGGGAAAAAAAATCGATCTGAAGTTAAAACCATCTGGCAAATGATATATAGTTAGGCTTCAGTTTGTTTGTGTTGTGTTTTGTTTTGCTTTTTAAAATGTAATTCACTATTGACATTCAGCTGTACTATTTTTAAATAGCTGTCAAAGCTCTTGGTGGTCAGACAATACAATAATAAGCATCCCAAAGTTCTGGGCTTCATTTCTGTTTGACAAGTGAGATGGGTGTAAGCCATCATTACCCTCAAAGAACCATGCCATTTGGAGAGATGGTCAAACTGTCCCCCTAACTAATAGTCCAAATCATGTCAAGTCCTCTGGACTTGTGCCTTTCTCAAAGATGGAAATATTCATCTCCAGGAAATAATCAGGAAGACATTGTTTTTTTCCAAAAGCTCTTGGCAATGGTAGTACCATCACCAGGGCAGCAGCTACCCCTCTTGGAATAATGTGCAAATGATTATTATTAGCAACTTATTATTACATTCTAAAATACAGTGAGTACAAATAGTTGACAGGATGAAGTAGGGAGGATCAAAAAAACAAAAACAAAACCAATCAGCCCTAAATTTATCCCAAACCTGTGTTCTGTTCTCAATTGTCCACTTTAACTCTTTCATTTCCCAAGCTTAGAGGCCTTCATTCTAATAAAATGTGGCATAAGAACCAGGAGACAACACGCACAATGACTACAGAAATTTTAACAAAACGATTCTGAGAGGAAGCCTCTGGTTAACTGTAGTGGGGTCCAACCTTGACCCCCAGAAAACAGATGAAAAAACACATTTTTCTCCCTAGCAGAGAGGTAGGGCCCTACAGATGTGAAACTGTGCATATATTTACTGTTTTTTTTTTCTAGGCTACAAGAGAGGAGTCAGTGGGTAATAAGGTATATCTACAAAGAAATATAAAAACAAAAAGCATCCATAAAACATTCCAAAAAGTAAAAGCCATAAAAATAAATGTGGTATAGATATACCAGGCTAGGCGAGCCAAACCCCTGAAAATTCAATGAGAACCTCTAGTATCAAGGACAATAGCAATCACAGAGCAAAAGCATCACTTTCTTTTGCTAACATTTGTATTTAGAAGAACCTCAGGGAATAATGCCTTTAGATGCCTATTGGAATCCTACCCATCTTTAAAGGTCCTATCAAATATTATTCCATGATCCCTTTCTTTTCTGTTGTCCAGTGGTTTCTGTTGTGTCTGACTCTTCATGATCCATTTAGGGTTTTCTTGGCAAAGAGACTGGGGTGGTTGGCCATTTCCTTGCCAGCTGTCCATTTACAGATGAGGTAACTGAGGCAAACAGGGTTAAGTGATTTGCCCAGGGTCACATAGCTAATAAGTGTCTGAGGCTGGACTTGAACTTAAGAAGATGAGTCTTCTTCAGGTCCTACACTGTATCCTGCTCTATGATCCCAATCCCCAGCAAACACATACATACACACACACACACACACACACACACACACACACACACACACACACACAGAGAGAGAGAGAGAGAGAGAGAGAGAGAGAAAAAATAAAACAAAACAAAAAACCAATCAACCAGAAGTTATCTCTTCTACTCCTGTAGTTTTTTAAATACCATTCTCATGGTATCATATTCTCCCTTATATGATTAGCTTATTACCTGTCATTTATACTGGTAGATTTGGGATCCTCCAGAGCAGCAACTGAATCTCATGTACTTTTCCATACACCAAAGGAGCTAGCATTGTGCCAAGGTACACAGTAACCACTTAGTCAATGCTTGTTAAAATAAATGGGATTCCCTCCAATCAAAAGCATGCAACTCTTTGAGATCCAGGAGATCCTTCCCTAAGGCATTCCATGCTAGGTTAGCACAAGGGATGACAAAGGATGTTCTTGACCCAAGGTCAGCACAGTCTGATAGTCACAGCAGTGACTTTTCCAGAAGGGCAGTTGCCTCAGTCTACCTGTAGGTGAAATGGATGACATCCAGACTATGTCATTCACTGAAGCTGATCAACATGGCAACATATTGCATTTCACCTCCAGGGTCCCCCAATATTTCCCAGCATCTTTGGAACTAACTTTCAGGCTGGAATCTCCAAGCCTACATCTTCCTGTGATGGATACATGAGAGGATTTTTAAAAGAATGAGAGACAAAGAAAAGAGGCACATAGACATCTATGTTTGAATACCACCTGCAGCTGTTTGAGCTACATCTAGGTGGTGCAATGGATAGAGTGCTGAAATCAGAGTTCAAATCATGCCTCAAACACTAACTGGCTGTGAGATTCTGAGCAAATCATTTAACCTGTCTGATTCAGTTTTCCCATCAGTAAAAATGGTGATAATATTAGCACCTACCTCCTAACGTTGTTGTGAGTATCAGCTGAGATAAAATGTATAAAAGTACTTTACAAACTTTAAAGAGCTACATAAATGCTAGCTATTATTACACAGAGAGGGAGAGAGATAAAAGTACAAGATTTACTATACTGATCAATGTTGTTTTTCCATCTTGTTCTAGGGAACTCTGTCAGGACAATGACTTCCCTTCCTACAATGGCTCTTCTCAGTCCACTCAACAGCTCTGTCAACTCTACTTGCGGGAAGGAGAACACAACAGGAGCAGGACTGCCCCACCCCCATGCCTACTATGCCCTCTTCTACTGTGCCCTCATTCTGGCTATTGTCTTTGGCAATGTCCTGGTCTGTCTGGCTGTGCTGAAAGAACGTTCCCTGCAGACAGCCACTAACTACCTGGTGGTGAGCCTGGCTGTGGCTGATCTGCTTGTGGCCACCTTGGTGATGCCCTGGGTGGTGTACCTGGAGGTGAGTGTGCCTGAGTGCCACAGGGCCAGCCTGGGGAGGTTTGTTCATGTCTACTGCTGCTCTGAACTATGTGCATAATTACATTCAGCCAACTATCTTGCTTCCAAGGAGTTCAAAACACATTCCACTTCACAATACACCTCAGTGAGTAAGGAGGACAGATAGTGTCATGCTCATTTTAATGAGGAAACTGAGGCTTCCTGAGATGCAGTGACTGTCTGATGTCAGAAGCCGAGAACAGGAAATGACTCCATTCTCAAGTCCCCAGCATGGTGACTAGACTGAAGAAATGCTGTCAGGGGTTTCACTAAACAAGAATGTCCCAGGTTTATGTGACTCATGCATAAAGCCCATGACAGTCACTTCCTCAGATGCTTTGTCAGTGGGAGAAATGAGGAAGAATGGGAAATGTACCCACCTCAGCCCAATCACTTTCTAAGGGAGAAAAGTGGCAAGAAACCAGAGAGGCAGAGGTCAAGTAAAGACAGGGAACATTAAGGAAGGTAGTAAAGGGAAAATAAAGGCACAGGAAAGGGAAAAGGATAAGAGGAAACAGACAAGAGAGAAGGTGAAAGGAGAGACTGGGAATTAATATGTAGCCTGACCAGGGCACCTCTCAGTGACCTAGTTTCTTCCACATCAGTACTCCATAACTGACTTAGGCAGAGCCTAAGACCAAGGTTTTAAATGAACACTGAAGTTACTTAGATTAACAGTGAGAGATACCATAGAACTGGATAGAAGATTGTTTGGGGAATTAGGAAGCTGAAAAAGGGTTCAGCTCAAGAACAACTTCTTACATGAAACCTTTACAAGTTCACTTCGCCAACTTTCTTGTTTCTTCCCTTCTAAGGCTCCCTTCTCTCTAGTCTGTGTGTGAGTGTCCATAGATCTATGTATATGTTATGTCTTCCATTAGAATGGAAGGTCTTTGAGGGCAAGAACTGTTTCTATTTTTTAATTTAGTAAGGTTAAAGATGGGGGTCGGAGTAAATCAGAGTAAGTCAAAATGCTTCATCCCCTTGTAAAGTGTCAGGATGCTAAACACTGTTCTAGATAGATAGATAGACAAACAGGTAGGTAGGTAGATAGATAGATAGATAAATAGATAGATAGATAGATAGATAGATAGATAGATAGATAGATAGATAGATAGATAGATAGATAGATAGACAGATAGATGGATAGATAGAGACACAGAGACATAGAGACATATAGGGAGAGAAAGAATGTCATTACTATGTATTTGATAATAACACATTTCAACTCTTCATTTCTGTTGTTTCAGTTGTGCCCAACTCTCCATGACCCCATTTGGGTTTTTTTTAGCAAAAAGACTGGAGTAGTTTGCCATTTCCTTCTTCAGCTCATTCACAGATGAGGAAACTGAGGCAAACGAAGTGACTTGCCCAGGGTCATACAGCTAGTAACCGCCTGACGCTGGACGAGTCTTCCTGATTCCAAGCCCAGTGCTCTATCCACGGTGCCATACAAGTGGCCCTAGGTGTGAACAGCACCTTGCCAATCAATCAGTAAACGTTTATTAAACACCAACTATGTGCCAGGCATTGTGCTAAGCAGTGCGTATACAAAAAGAGGCAAAAGACAGTGCCTGCCCTCAAGGAGTTGACAATCTAATAGGGAAGTCAATTGGGGCTGCATGAGGAAACCAGTTCAGACTGGAGAAGAGACTTGGCCCTGAGGACCTTTATAAAAGCAGGAGCTAGTTCAAAACCAAGGAGGTAGAGCTTTCAGGGGTCTGGCAGCTGAGAGGAAGGAGTGGGGACCTCAGGAGCCGAGCCAGAATTGGCAGGCAGGGGTAACAAGAAAAAGAGAAAGTGAGATTGAGTCGAGGTGGAAGAGGGAGAGACTAAGGAGGGCCATTAGCATTACGGGCATCTCCGAGTAAAAGACACAGGTTGACACCACCAGCATTGTACCCACATTACCCACCACTGAGGAAAGTTCCAAGAAAAGTCCTCTTTCCCCAGCTTCCCCTGCCAGCGCCCCAACGTTTCTGGTAACCTGAATTTTGCTTCAACCACAAAAGGTCCGGGGTTAGCTAGAGATAAATATAAATGTAAATTAAGGCAGAGAGCCAAACCACTGCCTAAAGCTGTAGAAGGGAGAAGAGAACCACATGGACCTCAGGGGCCATTATATATGGCCTCAAGACTTACAATGGGCTAATTATTATAATGGAGTGTTACATTTGTGTTCCTAGCTGTCGGCACTTTGCCGGGCATGGACTAATGTAGCACAGTGCCAGGTACGTGGTAAGAACTTAATAAATACTTGTTGATTCTGTTGCATTTGTGGAGGGAGCCCCCATGTGGGGAATTCCCTAAACCCATGAAATCACTGGACCAGACTTTTCTCCCCCCACCACCCCCACCCCCAGCACCCAAAATGGCACAGGCACTAGGGAATACTTCTCGGTAGAAATATTTATTTATTTTCTAAAGTGTTTTCACTTAAATGTGTGAAATGAAATAAGTCCAAAGGTTATCAAGAAAAAACATCCATTCTGTAACAGAGAAATCAGGGTGCAGTCACCCATTCAAGGAACAGATACTCTTCCTGGCAAAACATATAATTACTAGAGAGATTTTTTTCCCCAAAAACACCATAACATACTATTATTATTATTTCCTCTTGGCAGCTTCTGTCCTTCTTATAAAGCAATGTCCAACGGAGGATCACAATGATGCTATGATTAAGAGAAATTAAGATTCATCAAATTAATATCTCAGCCGATATTAATAGTGAAGGTGACAGTTAATTATGTATGACATATCACAGGAGAGCAAAAGCCTCAAACATAAAGACTACCTTATGTTAGTACTAATATTAAAGAATGGCTGAGAACTAAAATTAGGTGTTTGATCTCAGGGGGACAAAGACAAAGGGAAGGAAAGGCAATGGGAAAAATAGAAGAAAAGAAAATGAAATAGGCTGGACAAGAGCAGATCTTGTGGTTATTGGAAGGTAATCATTTGCCTAAATTTACTTTCATTTTACCACATTATTTTCAGAAGATATGTATTCAGAATGAAACTCTGGTTGAGGGAATAGCTCTTTGGACCTCCTCAGAAATAAAAGTAGCAGGTGATCAATCACAGGTTAATAGATTTAGAGCTGGAAAGGACCTCAGAGGTCATCTGTCTAACTCCTTCATTTTATAGATGAGGTTTAGAGAGGTTGAGTGATTTGTCCAAGGACACACAGATAGTAAGTGACAAAGTCAGGATTTGAACCCAAGTTCCATGGGTATAAATCTATCCTTTTTTTTTCCCTATTGCACATTTTGAGGCCCCTACTCTTGGTGAATCCAGCAATACTGAGGCAGTATCACATAGTGAGTAGAGAGACAGTATCGCATAATATGTAGAGAGACAGACTCATAGCTGGGAGGACCTGGGTTCTAGTCTGCCTCAGATACACATGGGCTGTGTGACCCTGAGCATGTCACTTAACCTCTTAGTGCTCTGGGCCACTCTCTAAGACTAGAAATTATAGAAAATTATAGAAAAGTTACTCAATCTATTGATTGAGGTAGTTTCCTTACCAGGGAGTTCCCTAAAGCAATGAAATTTCAAGTCCAGTCCCTACCAATAAGGAGCTTGAATAAAAGCTGAAATTACATAAATATGTAAAAATGTCTATATGAGATTGAGGGAGCCCTTAGACTCTGTAAATTAAAAAACATAAGTCAACAATACCGACCATTCACATGCAACAAACTGTCTCTAGTCATCCTTGAAGATGCCAAATGTTCCGAAGCAGGCATTCTTAACCTTTTTTTTCTGTGATGGACTCCTTTGGTGAAGGCAGGTGAAGCCTTTGGAACTTTTCTCAGAATAATTTTTTAATTCCTAATTGGAGAAAATGTTCAATTTCAGTTAGAAGTTACCGAAAATTAAAATATAACTTTCTCATCCAAGTTCATAGATGCCTAAAAACCCATCCATGGATCCCTTGCACCCACAGGTTAAGAATCTCTGTTCCCAAGGCTGAGTAGGGTAGAAAGGTGAGCAGAAAAACCAGCTTCATCGCAGAATGCATTTTATTCCTTTTGGAATGAAAGTATGATTTTGTTTCCTTGGGGGTGAGACATTTAGTCACACCCCTGGCTCTACCTCCTTCTAACTCTCTTCGGGCTTCTGTTATTGATGTTACCGCCTTCCATCAAACTCTCCCAAGTCTGGAGACTATCCCACATTAAGAACTTACGATTTCACTTCATAGCACTCATTGTATCTCCTTTCCTTTTCTTTCTGTAGAGTACCAGTACAAGCTTATGGATGGCTGCTTCTTTTGAAAGAATGTGAATTTTTGTTAGATTTTTTTAAAAAAGTCTTAAATATACTAACTCACATGGTCTACTGGAAGGAGTAGTAGTTATACAATTAGAAGTCCTGTGTATGAATCCTCCTCTGTCACTTACTATCTTTGATCCTAGGATCATAGAGTTAAGAAGGATATTGTTGTCGTTGTTGAGTCGTTTCAGTCATGTCTGAATCTTTGTGACCCCCATTAGGGATTTTCTTGGCAAAGACACTAGAGTGGTTTGCCATTTCTTTCTCCAGATCATTTTCCAGATGAGTAAACTGAGGCAAACAGGATTAAGTGACTTGCCTAAGGTCACACAGCTAGTAAGTGTCTGAGACCAGATTTGAACTCAGAAAGATGTCTTCCTGACCTCAGGCCCAGCATTCTATCCACTGCACCACCCTCTCATTTTACAGATGATAAAATTGAGAAACAGAGAGGTCAAGTGATTTGATCAGAGTCATACAGCTAGTATAGGTAGGACTTGATCCCAGGTCTTCTTGATTCTACGTTTGGTGCATTATCCATTATGCAATGCTTGGGCAGGTTATTTTCTGGGTCTTAGTTTCCTCAAATGGTTTTCTGATTTTTCTGTCCACCTTTCTACCCTATTCAGCCTTGGGAACAGGCGGTACAAGAGATCTATGGATAGGTTTCAAGTGGTCTGT